GGAAGGGGTAAGCTGGGCAGCCTGGGAAGGCCAGGTGGCCTGGTGCCCAGGTGCCACCCCACTCACAGGAAGGTGTACTTGGCCACGCTGCTGTTCAGCTCCACGGTGCGGTCCGCCAGGTCGCCCGGCTGGCGCACGGCGACGCGCACCCTGCTGACAGCCGAGGGCGAGAGCCGGGGCAGAGCCCACTGCACCGTGATGGTGCTGGCCGTCACATTCGTGATCTCAAAGCCTTCCACTGGACGAGGTCCTGGCCAGAGGGAGCAGAGAAGGCCGTGGTGAGCCGCCTGTCATCAGGGGTCACCCCATCCCTTCCTCACGCCTCCGCAAGGTGGGTGCTGCCTGCCCCTCTGGATGGGCTTCCCTAGCAGGGGCACCTCGGCACCACCAGCCCTGCCAGACTGGCACTCTCCTGTCCTCGCCACCTGGGGTGGGTGCATCCATCTGCCTGCCCACTCCTCTGGTCCCAGATCCCCCTGTCACCGGCTCCAAAGTGACTGCAGTACCAGAGCCTGGCCCTAAGTCCACTGCACACCCCAGGTAGCCATCCTGAACTCAGTTCTCACTGACCCCTGCATCTGGCCCTGGCTCAAGGCCTCCAAGGATGCTGTGACCACTGGCACATAGCTCTACTGTGCCCAGTACTACACCTGCCTTGTCCTCCCTGGGCTTCACCCAGTCGCAGCCAGCTGGAGGGGATGTGGCCTGCAAGATCTCCCACCATCCCCATCTCCTTAGAGGGCAGCTTTTCTAGGTGTAATCCCCTTATCTCCAGTTTGCACTCAATTTTCACATCTGTTTGCCCTAGAAACTGGGACCACAGCTGCTCTGCCTAACCACACCCCCACAGAGGCATCACTGTGCCCCTTCCCTCCACCCACAGAGCAGAGATCCCTGCCAGCATCTGCCCTCTCTGGCATATCCCCATGCAAAGCCTGGCAGGACGGCAGAGCAATTCACCCACAGGGCTCATTGTTGGCAGAGATCACCCAGCCTCGCTGCATGGATTGCCGAGCTGGAGATGTCCCCATGCCAAGCAGCACTGGGGACCTCACCACACTAAGCCCAGTGACAAGGAGTAACCAGTCCAGCCTGGCCCCAACGGGCAGGACTGAGAAGGGGTCTGTGCTGCCAGCACCCTTATTGGTCCCTGGGCAGGGGCTCAGTGAACCACAGGGGACTTGGTCCCCTTCTACTCACAGCAAAGAGAAAAGCAATTCTTTGTACAGAGTGCTTTCCAAAGGCCACCAGATGGATTTTAGAATCTGCACCACCAAACCTGCCAGCGTTTGGCACAGGCCCAGGCCGCAGCTGGAGCCGCTGGCGGGAGGGAGGTGCCCCCGGGGACGCTACTCACTAGTGCGTGTGGTGAGCATGATGGGCCTGCTGATATCATTCTTGTTGTTCACGTTGCGTTTGACTGAAAAGACAGAAATATTGTAGGCTCTGCCGGAGGCTAGTGCCCGCAATTGGTGGGCAGAACGACTTCGGTCCACAAAATCTGTCCTGCGGTAAGAGCCGTCGAGGGATACGTACGTCACGGCGTAGCCGTCAATGAGTTGCCTGGCGGCTGCGTCCTCAGGTGGGTGCCAAGAAATCAACACACCAGTGTCCTCCACCCTTTCCACCTTTAATGAGGTTGGTGGCAGCAATTCTTCAAGGTGTGGGCAAAAGCAAAGGGGAGAGGTAATGCCATGAATCTTTAGAGAACAGATCCCCAGCAGCAAGAGCCAGAGCAGCAGCAATGGAGGATGGGGCCCTCGCTGTCTCCCCTTGGCACGTCTGGCAGGAGCCCTGCGAGCACCGGCTACCACTGGCCTAGTGGGCATGGGAGGAGCCAGGGCACCAGGAGAGCTCCCAGCCGGGCACCAGGAGACCCCCCAGCCACTGCAACCTGGCAACACCAGCAGATGAGCACTTGCCACTGCCTGCCGGGCCTATGGCGCTGGTGAGACTGGGAGGCCAGTGCCCATGGCAAGAGGCTCCCCTCCGACGCCTCGGCCTCCCTTCCTGAGGGCCTCCGAGGGATTGCCACCACTGCAGAGGGCCAGGCACCCGTCTTCAGTGTCCTTGTGCCAAGCCTGGTGCCCGTGGCAGAAGCCCAGCACACCAGCACCCACCCGTGCCACTGCTGGAGCCCGGGCTGCCCCCTGCGGAGGCGAGGCCCCAGCCCTGCTCGCCTCAAGAAGAGCTACTGGTCCCAGATGGCATGGAGCCCCTTGTGCGCAGCGGCCACCACCAGGCTGGCACCGAGCCCTGCGCCACATCCTGACGACACTGCCGAGGGCCTTTACCTTTTTCGCAGCTCTTGCCTGTGTAGCTGACTTTGCAGGTGCAGCTGTGGGTGCCATTGCTGGGCAGGCAGTAGCCTCTGCTCCCGCAGGGGCTGGAGAAGCACGGGTCGCTGGCTGCAGGAGAGGTGCCAGGCTCAGCAGCGCCAGCAGAGCCGACTGGCCACCCCACACCAAGCCACCCTGCCCACCTCACCTGTCTCACAGTGGTAGCCAAAGAAACCCTCCGGGCACACGCAGAGGAAGGAGCCTCTGTAGCTCTTGCACTCCCCTCCGTTTTGGCAAGGGCCCGACTCACAGGCATCCACTTCTGGTGGCGGGAGAAGGCCAGTGATGAGCAGGGGCCCCCAGCTCCCATAGGAGATGACAACAACCTCCCGAGGGGGCAGCAGGATGGATGTGCAGCCTGGGGCTCAGCACAACCTGTCCAGATCTAGAATCCCACCCCAGTACTGCAGCAGCTGCATCCTCTGGCAGGGGGTGGACATCTTCAAAAGGGAATCTGTTACTGGCAGACTCCTTGCTCCCTCCCTCCCCACCAGGGCAGTTTCAGGTCTGTCCCTGAAACCACAGACAAGGAGGCACAGCAAACAGTGAGCATGCAGGGTGATGACTCGGGGTCAAGGTGCCAAGATACTGTCTGGCTTGGTGCTGGTCCTGGCTGCATCCCAGTGCCTACAATCCAGCCTGCTGCCACCCTGAGAAGGACAAGTCCCTACCTGTCTCACACTGGGTCCCCACAACGCCTTCAGGACAGTGGCAGACGAAGGACCCAGGGAGGTCCTGGCAGGTCCCACCATTCTTACAGGGTTCTGACTGGCACTCGTCAACATCTGGGGAGAGGCAGGAAGAGCAGTGCTCGCTCAGCAGAGCAACGAGGCTGGCAGCAGGGGCCAGCAGCCAGGAACAGGGGGCTCAGAGAGGCAGCATTTCTCCCACAGAGCATGGACCACTCCCACATCACTCACTACACCCAAGCCCAGCTGTCAGGGGCAGCTCCACTCCCAAGGCCATCAGGAGCCCATTGTCCCACACCTGCCCCTGCAGGCAGGAGCTGGTGACGTGCCCACAGGGATACAATGTCCTTCTCTGTGGAGCTCTGCCAAGAGGTCCCATAGGATGCCTGCAGCATGTCCCCTCCTCTAACCCCCATCAGACATCCCACCTTCTCACACCACTGTCCTTTGCTCAGCCCTAGGAAGCCAGGCTAGACTCACTTGCCACAGTCCCACCAGGCCATTGCTGCCCATCACCTCCTTCAACCACTGCCCACATGCAGCCACCACCATGTGCATACACATGAGCATGCATGACCAAAAATGCACAACCTCCAGCTGCTTCTCCCCTCACCTCTTGGCTCTAAAGTTATTGGCCACACAGGACACTTCCCACACAGATCCTGAGATCTAGGGCTTTTCTGCACAAGCTTAGCACACATCAGGAGAAAACATCTGCCTGTCAGTAATGGGGATGACCACACAGCATCCATTAGCAGGAGCACACAAGTAGTGCACGTGCCACCACAGCCCTGCCTGCTCCTCCACTCAACTGGGAGCAGCATTTCCCCACCAGTCCACCCCAGAGTGGGCCAAGGGCTCCAGGAGAGGAGCTCTCACCACAGGCCGAGCTGAGGGCGCAGACAGGAGACTGAGCCCAGTGCACACAACTACAGGCAGCCCAGCTCCTGGCTGAGGGGTCTGTGCCTGCTGTCATTCCCTAGGGGCTGGAGGGCGAGGGAGGGTTTTCTCTAGCTGTCTGCAGCAGCCCTGGAGCACACCTGAGCCTTACCCAGCTCGCAGTAGTGGCCCGTGTAACCTGGCTCACACAAGCACAGGAACTCGGCGACGCGGTCCTTGCACCGGCCGCCGTTCAGACAGGGCTGGGACCAGCACTCGTCGATCTCTGCAGGCGTTTGGGCAAGCAAGAGACAGAGCAAGAGGTGTGAGCACTGGGTACGGGGACCCCGGGGAGCTGTGTCCACAGACACAGACAGGGGAGGACTGGAGTCCATCCTGGGGTCACCAAGCCATGGTCATGAGCACAGCCCAGGGGGACGATACCCCAGGGTTTGGCCATTTGACAGTGCTCCTCACCATCACATTCGGGGGGGTCGCTCCAGACGCCTGGCAAGTGGCAGATGCGGGGGTGGTTGTGCTGACTGAGGGTATAGCCCAGCTCACACTGGTACTCAGCCAGCGATCCCACCTTGGTGGAGTTAAAAGAGGCCTGGCCGTGCTTCACCTCACTGGGGATACCACAGTCAACCTCTGCGGAGAGAGAGAGAGTGAGCAGGGTCTGCAGAGGCATCCCGAGCCCCCAGCTCCCAGGGGCAGAGCGAGGCCCTTACCTGACTGGCAGTGTTTTCCTACATAGCCTACGGGACACATGCAAGCGTAGTCCCCGCCAAGGTCCTCACAGGTAGCCCCATTCTCACAGGGGCTAAGGAAACACAGGGAGGGCACTAGGAGAAGAGCAAAACAGAGTGACTACTGCAGAGCTGGCAGAGCCCAGAAACCAGACCCATCCCCTTTTCCCCTCCAGCAGCACTTCCCTGCCCTCTGGCAGGGTGCAAGGAAGAGTCAAAGCACTTCAAATTCGAGGGAACAGGGTCCAAAAGAAGCGAGGAGGCTCGCTTTGCAGCTGCCA